GGTTAAAATGCTGGCTTCTCGATGTGCAGAAAATTACTTAGCCTTTCTTAGCTTCTTAGCCTTAATCTCTTCTATCCAAACTTCAATCACTCATTTAATTCTTAGACTCCCTACCCTTCTCTATTTGTTCCACCTGCCACATTCTAATTGTATTAGAAATAGTGGCTCAGTCCTTCATTCAACAAATATTTTGATCATGCCTAACCTAGGTCATGTACTCCCCTAAATGCTGAGTTTACAAAAGTGATTAAGACAAGGTTCCAGTCCTCCAGAAACTTCTAGGTGGGAGAAAGGAACATAATGAAGTTGAATGCAACAAGATGAGATGCTACAATGTAGGTGATGCTACAACTTCAAGATGTTGTGAACAACTCACAAGGTATAACATGTGGGCTGGATCTCGAAGGACTAGTCTTTGTATATGAAGGCCTATTTCTTTTACCGACTTGAAGACCATCTCATCGTTTGTATCCTTCAAGATGCCTTTACCATAGTAGGTGCCAAATAAATATATATGGGATAAATAAATGAAAGGAATCTGAATTGTAAGCTTTTAATAAAAGAAAAGTATCAGTTTCACAAATATAATAAACTCATGCTCTGACAATGGGAAAAATAAACCTCTTCAGGTATTTAACTATTTGCTGATGAAAAAGTAAAATGATTTTAAATACTAATTTTAAAATAAGAGCCTCTGAGATTCTTCTTGCGGACACCATAAGCCAGAATATTATAATGCTAAGAGCTGCCACTGAAACAGTGAGAAATTCCATCATTTTCTTTCTCAGTACTCTGTGATATAAATGCTTTTGATAGATGAGGGATCTGAGACAGAGGAAGATTAAGTCATTAGCCCCAAATCATCTGATTAGCATATGGTGAGGGCTGGATGCCAGCCAGTCCTGTCTGACTCCAGAGCCAAGCCCTCAGTCAGCAGGCAATGTGGCCTTGCAGTCAGGTTGTCTGTCCTGCATAGCTACTATCTTGCAGATAAGCATTACGCTGCAATATTGGTTTCCTGCATTTTCAGAAGACTGTAGAAGGGAATTAAGATAACCTCTTAGCTTTTCAATAATTTAGACTGAAGAAAACTCTTGACCAACTTATTTTTTAAAGACTCAAAGGGAAGTTTTCCAACCATGAATCTTCCAGTGTTTGAATTCAGATTCTGAAACACAAAGCATGCTCTAATTCATTATGTTTAATACCAAGGAATTAGAACCCAGATTTCCCTAGTACCATGATATTTCACGTAAGGTGCCAGATACATCGTTTTCAACATCTTATTCTCTATCTCGCTCACTGGCTCTCTTCTCACTAACAGCTACTCCTCTGGGAGACGGCCAGGAAAACAGCTACCAGAAGAGTAT